CATAGCTAAATATTTTTTTTTAGTTTTTTATATATTTGTTAATATATACTTATATATAGAAAGGAAGCTATAAATATATATATATATATATTGTGCCATTAAAAGCACTGTGATAATGAATATAGATATTTGCTAGCTTCCTTTCAGTGGAGAAGTAAATGTTAACAATGAGCATCAGGCACAAAAGCAAAAATGTAGAAGATGCATGTCTTGCTACAATAAGTCTAATGGTTTTATGTGATAAATAATTAGCAACATCACAGTGTTACAATAATCCGTTTGAACCCTTGTTTTGTCCTTCACACTAACCATATCTGTTTGCTGCGTTTCCTCAAGCGTTTCGCCACAACGAGTGCCCAGACCCAGGGGTGCCAGTCAACGGGAAGCGATTTGGTGAGAGCCTTCAACTGGGCAGCTCCATCTCATTCCTTTGTGAGGAGGGCTTCGTTAAGACCCATGGCTCTCAGACTGTATCCTGCATCCTCAAAGATGGCAACGTTGTGTGGGACAACGCTGTGCCTCGATGTGAAGGTGGGTAACAGAAGAGCATCATCAGATTGCATACACCCATACCTGTATGTGTGGGGAAAAAAAAAAATCTATGAAAAGAAATATGATGTTATAGTGTTCTTGAGTAATTTATTAATATGAGTGTGACTGTTTCATATTTTTGTAATTTAGAACAAACTTGTACTGTATTGTGATTTAACACAAACTCCTGCAGGAATAAGAAATAGCCTGGTTTTCATGATCTGACTATCTTGCAATGCAACATCCCAGCAGAATTTACCTAACTAAACATGCTTACTGAAGCATACACATTCTTCTATTTTCTGTTTATGTATCACATTTTGCAGGTATAACCATTTGAAGATGGTCAATATAATTTCCTTCACATCTGAGATCAGCAAAAGATGAAACAATACAATTTAGAGCATTTGTTCTCCCTTATATCTGACGCAGCAATCATGCTGTGCTTATAAACAGATTGCTGAGCATTCCATTTATCCCTTCATGGCTTAATAATCAATAAACCATCCTCAACAAATCAGACAATGTCTATATGGCTTGTAAAGTTTAGATAAAGCTCAGTATTTACTATAAATTTTGGACATCAGCAACGAATCGATGCAAATGAAGATGTGGCATAAACTCTGAGACCTAATCAAGTCCACTATCTATAGAATGCAAAGGATAAATCAATATTAAAGTATTTCACTCCCTCCCCTCAGCAGTGCCATATTCCTTTGAGGCTACCCCTACATTTGTAGCATAATGGGTTTCATAGATGTCCTTCAGTATGTTGAGTTCTGATTAAATCGTGCTTATTCAAATGGAAAAGGGAGCTGGCACTGTACCGAAGCTCTCCACCATTCCTGTGTGTTCTGGTTAAAGATAGGCAGTTAAAAAGAGGACCGACAAAGTGAGCTGGAACAGAGAAGAGGGTTTAGGATAGAGGCCAGTGTTCTTAAGTGTCTTGTGCAAGCGATCAAAGAACCTTTTTTTTTTTCCTGGTTCTCTTCCTGATGGGGATAGCAGCATCGTCTTACATAGATAATGTTCATTCTTGCTCTTAGACACATGTAGAGTGATAAGAATGCTCATAAGAGAAATGTTAACTTTGTAGTGAGATGTCAACATTGTATATTATATGGATCTTAGTGGAAATATTGGGAGGAGCACTGGATGAT